AGGACTTTAAAAAGCTAAAAAAGAAAATCCCACATTATATGTATTAAATACAAGTTCTATTGTTATAACACTATGTTAATATAAAACTATCATGATATATAATGATATGATCATGTAATATATGCAATGATGTTTATAAGTAACATATGGTATCTAACATAATTAATATAAAACACATCCATAATTATGATAAATATACCAACAGACATGGATAAAATATAACATCACACTTTCAGATTTGGTTTCGCCAGTTTGCACCACTATTTTAGGTTCTCTCAACACCTCATGCTTAAATACATCTGTGGTATTCAAGAGTGGAGTAACAAATGTATACCTGTGTGTTTTTCCTCTTGATATACTACATACTGTTCATCAGCCTACTACATACTGTTCATCAGCCTAATATCGCTACCTGGTCCCATTTTCACTTTCCTTTCTTTAATTTAAAAGATGAGCAACAGCTGTAGCTAATCTCTCACTCAAATAGTTTCTAGTATACGTGCTTCTTTGAATCTTTATTATGTCAGTGTATATTTCACTTGATTTAAGCATTTTTATTTTCCTTCTTGCTTGTGGTAAGCAATCACACATTTCTTTTTTAAAAGGGGCATGCTGCTCTGCAGAACATCTTGTCTTTCCTTATTCTAAAAAATAATGAGCTCAGTTACTTTTTCATGGAGGGTATTTGTTTCATTCTTTCTGAGAGCACTTCATCATGGGCTGAGTGCAAACTTGCTATTCTTTTTCCTACAGTTCCATGAGTGCATGTGAGGAAAGATGCTTTTCCTACATTCACTTTTAAGGGTAATGTCATTTAACAGAAATGAGATAAAAGAGTAGAGAGCTGGGAGTGTAATGTGTGCATACCATTTATCTTTATTTTAAGGAGTATGTTAATGGTCAAAGAAATTATGGTGACAGCATTCTTGAATTGAGTTAAAATTAAAGATATGTTTTTCCTTTTTACCTCTAGTGGTATATTTTAAAAGTATAAAAAAATAAAATTAATGGAACCCCACTGTTCTTTTTTTTTTTTTTAAAGATTTTATTTATTTGACAGAGAGAGACAAAGAGAAAGGAAACATAAGCAAGAAGGGTGGTGGAAGAGGGAGAAGCTGGCTCCCCACAGAGCAGGGAGCCCTACATGGGGCTCTATCCCAGGACCGTGGGATCATGACCTGAACTGAAGGCAGATGCTTAATGACTGAGCCACCCAGGCACACCACCATTCTTGTTCTTTATAGATAATAATCACACATGAAAGCATATTCATATTATTTCCCAATACTTCAAATAAATAAAAAACTTGTAAAGAAATATTTCTGAATTTAGAGAATTTAGACCAGATACAGACAATCAACTACTTTTTGGTAAAAATTACAAGCCACTAACTGTATGCAAATTGCAAAAAAAATGTCAGATAACATAAAAAAAAGTGAATTTTTAGTTGTTAAAGATCCTTAAAGTAACCTGTGGTGAGGCTAGTGAAAAACAGGTATTCTTGGAATATTTAAATGTTTTACATTTAATGTTTTCTTTAAAGAAGATTGTATGTAGTATGTTGTCACTATTAAAACACAGACTGGACATATTATAACAGAAAAAAATGATCATGTCAGGAGACAGATTGTGGTTCTAATCTTGCCTTCTGTTAAAAAGAGAACCGCAGGCTCCAAATGGGGTCATTTAGGCCAAGTCAACAGAGCAAGAGTTAATACTTAACCTAACTGCAGTTTTAACCCCCTAGGAGTGTAACATTTGACCTGTCAACGTGGAATTTCCTGCTCAATTCTAGGAAATTTACTGATAGACCTTTTCTATTCTCCTTTGGTGGATAACATTGCCTAAAAAATGTATTCCTTGCTAATAAATTCCCTTATTTATTTATTTATTTATTTATTTAAAGATTTTATTTATTTATTTGACAGAGAGAGATCACAAGTAGGCAGAGAGGCAGGCAGAGAGAGAGAGGAGGAAGCAGGCTCCCCGCCGAGCAGAGAGCCCGACTCAGGGCTCCCAGGACTTTGGGATCATGACCTGAGCCGAAGGCAGAGGCTTTAACCCACTGAGCCACCCAGGTGCCCCTAAATTCCCTTTTTTAATGCCCTTCTTCTGCCTTGAAAACCCCTTCTTTTGTTTAGCTCAGCAAAAAATCCCTCTACTTGCTAGATGGGATGCTCCCCTATTCAAAATTTATTTAATAAGAACAATCAGATCTTCAGATTTACTCAGCTGAATTTTTTTAAACATTCCCTACTGACTAACAGTGTGATCTTAAGGAAGATGTCTACCTTTTTTTTTTTTTAAGATTTTATTTATTTGACAGACAGAGATCACAAGTAGGCAGAGAGGCAGAGAGAGAGAGAGGAAGGAAAGCAAGCTCCCTGCTGAGCAGAGAGCCCGATGTGGGGCTCAATCCCAGGACCCTGGGATCATGACCTGAGCTGAAGGCAGAGGCTTTAACCCTGGGATCATGACCTGAGCTGAAGGCAGAGGCTTTAACCCTGGGATCATGACCTGAGCCAAAGGCAGAGGCTTTAACCCCCTGAGCCACCCGGGTGCCCCAGAAGATGTCTACCTTCTTGAACCTTAGCTTTCAAATATGCAAAATGAGTGTTATGAACTGAATTATGTCCCCTGCAACTTCATATGTTGACGTCCTAACCCCCAAAGCTTAAGAATGTGACTATATTTGAAGACTGGTCTCTAAAGAGGTAGTAAGTTAAAACGAGATCATTAGGTTGGGCTATAATCCACCACGACTGATAAAAGAAGAAGAAATTAGGGCACAGATTCACACAAAAGAATATGATGTAAAGACACAGGGAGAAGACAACCATCTCCATGTGAAGGAGAGAGGTCTCTAAAGAATCAATCCTGCAGATACATTGACCTCACACTTCCAGGTTGCAAAATTGTGAGAAAATAAATTTCTGTTGTTTAAGCAACCCCATCTATGGTACTTGTTATGGCGGCTTGACCAAATAAATATAATGGGCTTTATGAATCTTACTATAAGATTCTTACTATAATTACATACAGTTACCTGTTTATAAAGCATCTGGCACACGGTAGTTGCTTAATATGTGTTAATTAATATTGTTCTTACTGCTGATAGTCTTTTATTGGGCAGGTCATTTATAATTCCTATCTTTATCTTATCTTAAATATACAGGAGTTCTTTTAGGGTTAAGAGATCAGATTATATTATGTTTCTATAGCATGGGTCATAGGATTTATGCCTTAAAACTTATTCATAAGTTTGGTATAAGAGCAGCCTTAGAATCGTCCCACTTTTTTTTTAAACTATGTGCTTTTCTGTATTTAATCTATATCTCAGTTTTGCATCTGGGAGATATAGAAATATTCAGAATTGTTAACAATAAATAAATTCATATAGGTAATAAAATTACTACCTGACACATAATTGGTATTTAATCAACCTTAAGTATGATTACTGTGTTCTCAATGATTTTATCACTTTTTCAACACATCGCAGGCCAGGAAAGTTTCTTCTGGTGTACCCTTCTGTTTCTTATGTCACTTCTTATTTGTCTTTCCTTGATGGGGCAAAATATGTTTTTCATAATTTATTTTTACTGTTGCCCTGATACTCATACACCTGCTCCCCCTCCAGATAATGGTAGTCTCTGCCCAGGAAAATTGTTACCTTGGCTAATATGGCATTGCCCAAAGTGCACTGTCCCCATTGTTACTCAGGAGGTTAAAATGCTAAAGAAAAATATTAAAGGATTCTGTGCTCATATTTTGAGTTAAGCAAAGAAAATAACATTCTATCAAATATCATCTTAGTGATCTTAAAAAGCTCCTGTGCATTTTGAGCAAAGGAGATATGTGTGATGCAGCCTTTCCTCAATTTAGTTGATACTACACTGTTTTCAGGTCAGTTTTCCCTAAAAATATGAAATTATTCAAGAAAATAGAATCAGGAAATTGACTGAAGGAGGGTAGAATATCTTTAAAACCTCTCAAATAAGTTCTTTTCCAGTCTCTCTTTTGGGCCTCTGCTTTCCTCTTTACTGGTTTTAAACAGATAATTATTATCACTAAATAATAATCTGTTGTCACAACCAAATAACTTATTTTAGTCTACATACTGGATTAGGACTGTGGTATGTGTTTTAAAGTGCCATTTAATTAAAAAAATAGTGTAGGGAGGCAAAATGCATAATATAAAGACATTAATTCTATATTAAAAATTAAGGCTTACAATAAATCAAAGAAGGAAAATTAGGGGAGAATGTCATTTTTCACTTATCCAGATTGGTAAAATATACCTATTGTTGGTGAAAGTCTGAGGATAGAATCACCTTCAATCACAGCTTTTGGGAATGTAGTAATATAAATGTTCATTTTTTTATCTTGACTGTGGTATAATGAATCATTTTAATTTTCTTCATTATATTTTCCTAAATGTTCCAAATTTTCCATAGTGAACACGTTTAACTTTGCTTATTAAAAGAAATACTGGGGCGCCTGGGTGGCTCAGTGGGTTAAAGCCTCTGTCTTTGGCTCAGGTTATGATCTCAGGGTCCTGGGATCGAGCCCTGGGATTGAGCCCTGCATCGGGCTCTCTGCTCAGCGGGGAGCCTGCTTCCTCCTCTCTCTGCCTGCTTCTCTGCCTGCTTGTGATCTCTGTCTCTCAAATAAATAAAATCTTTTTAAAAAATTTAAAAAATACCACTTTGTTTTTTTCTGATTTCTCTAATTTGAAAAAAATATGAAGCTTTCATGGCTTCTTTGTAAAGCTGCTTATATAACTTCATTGATAATATAACCCATATAACGCTCTTTCCTCAGTACTATTTTAGGACATAGAAAAAAGACAGAATAGCTTGCTAAACATTAATTTGGATCCAAGCACATGTGAATACTACTCACAATACCCTCAACTTTAAAAAAGGCAAAAACAATATCCAGAGGAACAGTCTTTGTTATTTATGATATTAAGTGTAAAAAAAAATATAGGCATGTATTACCTGATGAGAAGTGTATACTTCTGTCCATCATCTACTTTAATAGTACTGTTAATGCTTCTCAATTTTGCTTCACCAGCACAGAAAAAGTAGTACTATAAGAGAGAAAAAAAAAAAGGTTTTCTTCAGTTTGTCACTATGAAATTAACACCTCTTACTTGTATTGGACTTAGAATTTTCTAATAATTTTTATTGTGCTTTGGAGACAAGGAGTCTGAAACTTCGAGAAGTGACAGTGCAAGGAATAGAATAAAGGCTAGAATTAAAGTATATAAATGTGTATTTTATACACAAACAAGCATCATACAAGTGCATTCATCTGTGCATGCACACAACACACACACACACACTCTTCTGGTTTCTTTACCATTATTCTGAGGAACATGTTTGAGAAAGACTGCTTTTTCTACTAGCAGGAAGTATTATTGGCAAGTTTCCTTAGATATTACCAAATTGAGCAATGTGAAGACCAGTGAATATAATCTAGAAGGTGATATTAATCTAGAAGGTGATGTGAGGGTTCCAGGGAAGGGAACCTGAAAGATTACAGACGTTAACCATTCATTCTAAAATTCCTGAGGCTTGGGGGGAGGGGAGTTTTTGTCACATTACTACTAATTGAGCCAAGTGAGTTACAGCTTAAAAGGAGGCAGATTGTGTCTATAACAGATACATTTGATCAGGACTCCTGGGAATTCCACAGGGAATTCCACGCACTTAACAGCATGTGCTTACATGTATACTAGTTATACGATAGCTATTCTTCCAAGTAAGGGACTTATCATTTGTACAGGAAATTGGTAACCTGCATATATGTTAAAGAAACACAGTTGCATAGTGTTTCCTAACTCCTATGCATCTAGCCATATATCTGTGCCATATGTGTATGTGTGTGTATGCATTTTTTTCTTTCTTTACAGGTAGAGTAGGGGGACAGGGACCAACAGAGAGAGAGAGAGAGAATCTTAAGGGGGTTCCACGACCAATTCCACGCCCACTGTTGGTGGGAATGCAAGTTGGTGCAGCCACTTTGGAAAACAGTGTGGAGGTTCCTCAAAAACTTAAAAATAGAGCTACCCTATGACCCAGTAATTGCACTACTGGGTATTTACCCCAAAGATACAGATGTAGTGAAAAGAAGGGCCACATGCACCCCAATGTTCATAGCAGCAATGTCCACAACAGCCAAACTATGAAAGGAGCCAAGATGCTCTTTAACAAATGAATAGATAAAGAAGATGTGGTTTCATATATACAGTAGAATATTATTCCATCATCAGAAAGGATGAATACCCACCATTTGCACCAGCATGAATGGAACTGGAGGGGATTATGCTAAGTGAAGTAAGTCAAGCAGAGAAAGACAATTATCAATATGGTTTCACTAATATGTGGAACAGAAGGAATAGCATGGAGGACATTAGGAGAATGAAGGAAAATCTGAAGGGGGAAAATCAGGGGAGGAGACGAACCATGAGAGACTATGGACTAAGGGAGACAAACTGAGGGTTTCAGGAGGGGTGGGGGATGGGTTAGCCAGGTAATGGGTATTACGGATCTAAAACTTTCCACATTTAGTCTTAAGATAAATATTATATTATATATTCTAATTCTATAATATCTGGCCATTGCAAAAGATTTCTTTCCTTTACAGAATTATCTACTGTGGGTTTTTCAAAGACAAGGTGACTTACATGAACTTTGCAGAGAAATTAGTTGCATACCATTTGGCTACACATTCTTCTCAAGCCCTGTGCAACTAGGTAAAAGTCAGTGTTTCTTAATTCCTACTCTGTTCCTAGTATACAACCAATGTGACCAGAGGCAACATTTAATATTTTTAACAGCACAAATAATGATTTATCTACTTCTTATATGTAATATTTGGGGTTCTACATTGTTAGTGAAGATAATTATTTAAACTTAAATGATAATGTACTGACCAACAGTGCATTTGTGTGTGTGTGTGTGTGTGCACATGTGTAAAGAAGTTAGTCTCCTTACTTTGTTCAACTGTATCAGAAAATGCTTGTTCAGGTACTACTAAGTCTTATTAATTCCCTATTATCTTCAGGGCAGTCAAAGTTAAGCATATATAAAATATTTAATGAACAATTCTATTATTCTCACTTGAATTTTTTCTTTTATTATAAATGGCTCTTTTATGATACATATATTTATGATATATTGATATATATATTATACATGTGATATACATATATACACAAAGTACTATTTATTGAGCGATTACTTTGCATCATGGATTTTTAAAAGCACCTTATAAGTAACGACTGATTGTTTCCTACAAAACAAAATAAAAACCAACCAAACAAAAATCTATGAAGTGGAAAAGGAGATGAAGTTGTTCACCCCTCTCCAGGGAGGTAGTGATTTGCAATACAGCTATAAGTCTAGAAACTGGTGTTTGGTTATCTATGTACTTACTTCCTTGTTATGAGAAAGAGCCAATAAAATATTTTTAAAAATTATTTCAAAAAAATTTTTAAATTAAAATAAAAATTAAGTTTCATATGTTTAAACCTTCCTAAAACTTAAATTTCCTTAAAAAACTGACTAAAAATTCTGCGTTTCTAGAATAGCTCTTAAATTATGATCATGGTAAAAGTTCAACCATAAATACGTCTTTTTGTGAAAATTGTAATGTAAATGCATTCCCCATATGATTATACTTTTAAAATAGGTGAATAAATTGGAGCATCGTCTCACAAATCATAGTGGAACAAGGAAAATCTTAAAATCGTGAAGACAGAATAACACTGAAATTTCCTTTAAATCTTTCCAAGAAAGCATTGATATGAGTGAAAAGAACATGAATTTTGGATTTACACAACAAAGGAAAAATTCCTTACCTACCATTCTTAAAAGTTCCAAGAAGATGTATAATATCAAACTCCGTGAAAAGCAAGATTTTTGTAAGATGCAGAAAGAAAATACCTAAATTTCACTTTTGATTACTATGTCCCAGGCATCTTTCTATGTGTTTATTACATTTACTTCACAACATTTATTCATTTACTAATTTAAACCTCACAACAATCTTTATTACCCTCATCTTACAAGTGAGTAAATTTAAGCACAAAGTGCTTAAGCGACATGCAAAGTCTCAAAGCTCCTAAGTGGCAAAGTTGGGATCCAAACTCTAAGTCTAGCACGAGAGCCCATGACCTTAATAAATTTTCTTAAGATGGAGACTGACACATAATTTCCAGTCAATAAACGATAGTAATTATTATTATAGACATATCAATATATATCCTTTGTCATAAGCCCTAAAGGAAAGAAATTCTACACATCTTTCTACACATAATGGTTTTTTAATTCCTCACTGTCTTGATACGACCTATTGTGAATTTATTTTTATCCATTTGAAAGTGAAAGAAGTCTCCCATGATTCATTGTTTCATAAAACATTTTCATCCACAATCCTGCAAGTCTCTAGTAATTCCTCATAATGTCTCCGGAGATGTTCACAGTGGTGAGAGGAGCTAGCTGAGATAGACACTCAGTTAATGGGAGCTGAGTCTGCAGCAGAAAAATGTGCTGAGGAGAAACATTTTAAATGTGGCTATGCTCAATATTACGTGTTTTATAACTTTTTTACATTTGGTCTCCATATTTAATGGAAAATTTTGGTCTTAGTTGAGGAAAATTCTATAGAGCAGGAATTAGCAAACTTTAAGGGTAAGACTGATGTTTGATGATTCATTAATGTATTCTATTTATTACATAATTCTATTTTCTTACTCCTGTCCTTAATATTATCTGTAATCAATGGGAAACAATATGAAGAAAATAAAGAGTATTTTATTTACTACCGAATCCTCAGAACTTGGTAAAATGACTGGTAATAGATAAATGGTCAATGAATGAGTAAACACATACATGAATGAATAAAAATACTGCTACTACTAACTGTTACATCCAGCTGGTATTTATTAATGACATCAGACTTTGTACTAGATAATGTATGTGTGTTGTAACACTTAAAGATGAACATTTAAAGAAAATCAAAATGGAATAGGACTTACTTAAATTATAAGGTATAACTCACCCTTCCATGAAAATTCACATATTATATCACATCATGAAAGAAATGATTGATAGCACAGTACAATGTTTCATATATTAGGCTGTGTTGAGTTAATTGCCTCACTGCAGTGATGAGTTCGATGACTTACTATATCTGGTCAAGTACCACAGAAATATGAGTTGATTTGTTAAGGCAGAGTGGTGTTGAAAGAAGAGTACACTTTCAACTAAGTTAGCTTTATAATTCAGTGTTCTGTAGCTGTATGATCTTGGACTTTTATAAAAAGTTGTTATAAAGACTACTAAGTGTTAAATCCATGATCTCAAACTTTTTGATCTCAGAACCTTTTTGCGCTCCTAAAAATTATTGAGGATCCCAAAGAGTTTTTGTTTACTGGGCAGTATCAATATTTATAATATTAAAAATTAAAGCACACATTTTTTAAATACAAAAATATGTAAGTACTCATTACATTAGTGATCAGAAAGATGACATGTTCATATGCCATGGAGCTTCTGGAAAACTCACTGTACACTTATGAGAGTGACTGAAAAAGGCAAATAACATAATTTTTATTAAAGTAATCTTCCCTAATGGATCCTCTGAAAAAATTTTGGGGTTCCCAGATCACATCTTCCATTAAAGCTATAAAAAACAGTAGCAATTGCTATCACTGTGATATTGGGAAACATAAAAGCAGAAAAAAGGTTAAAAATATAGAGAAGAGATTGAAAGCTATTCCAAGTATATACTATTTTGATATATAAATAGTGAACACAAAATTACAAAAACAGAACATACAGCCTACTGGTGATTGTAAAAGATAATTTAACATAAAATTTTATTTTGATAATAACCACGAAAGTGAAGAATCAGAACTTTCTAAAATTCCTTTAAATGAAATAAATGTAATGACTTACCTTTAAAGTACCATTTTCAATACATAATTGAATAAAAAATCCATCTACTGAATCTGAGTCTTGTTTGAGATAGAGCAGGAGTCCATAGGAGTTGAAGGTCTGAAATTCTACTGACATGTTGTTCTGTGGATTTAACAACACATTCTGAAATTCTAGATAGGAATCTCCATAATAACAAGCACAACTGAAACCTGAGGAATCAGAAAGAAAATACAATTTAGTTTGGAATTGAATATTCAAAAGTTGGGTTTCCTATTAACATTAGCATAATATCTTCTGAAGTGGCTCATACTTGACTCTTTCTATTAGGAACCTAGGCACTTGTTTCTTTTGCCACAGTCACAGTGGTATGCCATCACTTCTGTGTACTGGGCGCTTCATGATCAAATCTCACTGGAAGGCAGGGATGTCTAGATGATTAATCTTCAACAGTGCATTCAGTTATACTTTATGTTACAGGTCAACTGAAATAGGAACATTTTCTAAAGATGTCCTTATTCATTGTATATATAACATGTTGGTTCCAAATTATGATTTTGGTCATTACTGTTAATTTAATTGGGTGGCTTTTAAGGGCTGATAAGAGATTACTGAGAAGTAAAGAAACTGTCATCTTTTTGTAGCAATACTGTTTTATCCACGCTTCCTTAAAAATCATCACTCCCTTGTTCTCTTTCCTTTTCTCATCTTCTGAATGAACGTATTTTAATTAGCCTCAATATTTCAAGTGAAATATAGACACTCTGATTAAATACTTTGACAATTTACATTCTTAAATGTATAAATATATGATTAATGAAACCTAGTAAGCTTATTTCCTGAATAAGTTACTTTACATTGTTAAAAGTTACTTTTGTTTGATAAAAACTTGACTGTTTGATTATATTTCTGTAAAAATTGGTATGAGTTTTCTCCTATCATTTCCTCCCTTCGGCTCCTCCTCCTGTGATACACAGACACATAAATTCCCTTTAAAACTTCCAAATTATTTTTCTACAATTAATATAAAAGATTATTGATGAAACTATGAGTTTTAGTTTGCTGTCTACCATAAAACTCTTTTTAAAATCTATGTATATTTTAAATCTTTTATAGAATTTATGTTCTATGTGAAGTATTTTTTTATTTTAAATTTTCAATAAAGCTTTAGAAATAGTGTAATAAGTTTTCAAACTTGTAAAACACTCTAAGGAAGTAATCAGCTAATTCTAAAGAATTTCCTCTTTTAGACAGAAAGAAGAAATTTCAAAATACTTCCAAAAAACATGTGCTTTGCAGATATAAAGCATATGGGATTTTTTTAATAAAAAAATTCACTAGTGAAGGTGGCTCAAAGATTGAAAATATTAACAAAGTACATTCAATTTTGATATCTTAACTGCTTTAGTTGTTATGTGAAACAAGTATATATTTATTCCTTGTAGGGTTTAATGATGATGTTGAATGCACGGTACAATAAAATTTCACATGTTAAAAAATTTGAAAAGTTTCAGGCATTTATTTGAATGAATTGGGAATGGAGACAAATATCCATTTGATTTAAAGTTCAGAATGTGGGGGTGCCTGGGTGGCACAGTCACTGACATCTGCCTTCAGCTCAAGTCATGATCCCCAGGATCCTGCTCACAAGATGTGGGGGTGGAGAGGGCGAAGCAGTTCCTTGTTAACCGGGAAGGCTGCTTCTCATTCTCCCACTCCCCCTGCTTGTGTTCCCTCTCTCGCTGTGTCTCTGCCAAATAAATTAATTCTTTTTAAAAAAATAAAGTTCAGAACATGAAAGAGCATAAACTATTTTCAGACAAAAACTAATATTACAACATGAATAGACCCAACATTGGTGAAACGAAGAAACTATTATTTATTTTTAAGCACTTTGGAAAGATACAGTCCAACTGACAAGAGCAAACTCAAAACTCTTTTAATTTTGTCATGTTTTGTCTTTTTACAGACTAAATTTTATAACTAAAACTTAAGTGGTTTTGTCATGTGACCAGTGCTTTATATAAAAACCCACACATGCATCCATCTGTAAGCTACATGAGGTCAAGAGCCATATATGTTTGGTTCATCCTTCTGTCCCAAGTTCCTGATTTTCTTAAGCATGTGAAACCCTACTATGTCTTATAGAAACTATAACTGTTTTTGTTTAAATGTGTTTGGAAAATTGAATTGTCATGTTTGGATAAAAATACCAGGAAATATTTTACATAGATTCATAGTAATTTGACCATACTTCTAGTGCTTCCTCTTCACATGTATGAATACAGATTTTATTTTACATTATTAGCAAAGACTTAGTCAAATAAAAAGAGTGGTGATATTAAGCACCCAACAGTTTTGTGAAGAAAGATTAATTGTACAGACCATTTCCAGTAATGATGGGCTAGAGTAAAATAATAATGCCACACATTTTTCATTATCTAGAATTAAATCGTAAGTTCCTTCCATTTCAGTCTTCATTTTTACAAACAGAAGAATCTTTATCTGAATTGTATGTCCTCATATCATAATTATACCTATGAATGAGTCTGTATGCTTCTGATACATATACAGAAAGCCCAATTCAAAGTAGCTTCAGCAATAAAGAAATTCAGTGGCTTAAGTAAAAGCAAGTTCAAGGATAAGACGGATTTTCAGATGGACTCTAAAAAGCTCAGCTTGTTCCTCATAAGAGACCTAGATTTCTTCTTTTTCTCCATTCTGCTATTCACATGGGAAGTTTTAATCTCAGACTTGTTTTCTTCTGATTCTAATATGTGGGAAGTGGTAGTTTTAAATGACCTACTTCTACAGTTGAGACCAAGCACTCAGTTTCCTATATTTTTCAAGAGAGAAAGAAAAGAATTTTCCCAAGTGTAGAATGAACCTTTCCTAGCAATTAAGTAGCTAGAACTGGTCACTGATCAAGTTTTCCACTGGGGAGGATGGGGTGAGTTTCCACTGAGACCTGCAGGAGGGGTTCATAGTAAAAAAATTGGTATTCTGCTTGGAAGAATACTTCAAAATCAAATCCCAGTATTTCGCCAGATTCATGTCTTATTTCCTGGCTAATAATAGTTGACTGTCAGATTCAAAGACTCAAAGTACTCTCTTACATCTCCAAGCTAGAACTCTTTCATCTCCAATTTCCTGCAGCTGCCTCTCCTGAGAAGTTCTTGCCTTTATTTCTAACAGCACACATTGAGTATAAGGCTGGATCTAGCCACACACACACACAAAAAAATACTTAAAATTTAATTGTTGCTAGGTGGAGAGTTGCCAAATTTTTTTTGACACCTAACTATTTGGCTTTTCCAGTGCATAGTAACCCACAGCCATTCCCACTGCATGAACATAAAGGAAATTTTAAAGCAGTTTTAGTGAAAAATCAGAAGTCAATAATCCTGTCCTCCCCTACTATACGAAGAAGGGTTTTAAATAGATTAGTAGAATAAATATATTTTAGATGTAAACAATAATATAGACTCTGAGGCATATATAAATATTTAAGTTAGAACAAATAAAATAAAACTCATGTGTATAATATTTAATTCTTTGAAAAGTTATAAACCACTACTCCAGCAGTATATTTTCCTTTTAATAAAATGCATAATTTTAAAAGGTACAGGATTTTTTTTTTTTTGGCTTCTTGGTTAGTAGATCACAAACTACTAAACAGATTTTAAAAAACAGACTCTATTTCATGGTTAGCATTCTATATGTAAGATTAACTGTGAAAGTTGGAATCTTAACACAGAAAACTGAATACGAAGCTTATTTACAACATAGTTTGATTAGGACTCCAAAATGACTCAATAGTTTAAATAAAGGACATGTATTATTTGACCCTACTTCCAATAAATTATTGTTAATATCAGTGTAATCCATGAATAATAGCTCAAAGAGAGAGTATTGCTTTCTGAAGTATGTATTACTAGCTAAATGTTAAATAATTCACAACTAAAATGCAAAATAGCTTTTTATTTATTTCATGTATCTTGGAAGTAATATCTAGAAAATATCAGTGAACATTTGTGATAGGTGTAAATATGCAAAATTTTCTATTAAACAAAACATTAATGTGAGAAAAGTCTATATGTATAACAAATGTAATTCATACAGGAAGATATACTAGACCATTTATTAAGAAACACTGAATCTTGATTCTTTGTTCTAATAGCAATCAGGCCAGCAATGATGTATTAGCTACAGAAACTGTGACTTAGTTCTCTTCATTTATATTATTTCTAGAAAGAGCTTGGATTTTATCACTACAAAATACATGTTTAATACTTTATACTTCCATGTTCTACAAATTGTGTTCAATTCACCTTAAAATCCAACTTTATACAATCCATTTAAATTCATCTCAATTAGCTTAATATCTACTAATAAAGCTGGAGCAAAAAAGAAAATTAATATTTACACGCTGTTTACTATGTGCCAGGTTTTGTTAAAACTTATACTTCTTAAAATGCTGTCGGTTTTTTTCCTGGCAACTTAAAGTTTTGTGCCATTTGAAAATGTTTTTGTGGAAACTAAGCATGTTTCCAAATAAATTATGAAATAATTTTTCATAAAAAATTGTTTCTTTCATGGATTTTCACAGATTGATTAGTCCATGGACTATAAGTCGATGCAATAATTTATAGAGTAGGTATTAATCATATAATGCAAAAAAAAGTTTATGAAACAATACTGAAATCAAAAGCCAGAGTATTCAGTGTAAGATTGGTAGACACCTCTCAGTCTAGCCAAAGGAAATGTATGATAAATATGAGCTACAGAGGCAGATTTTAAGAAAATAGATGACTGCAAAGAAAGCTGAGAGATAACTAGTCAAATAATTGAATAAGTTTTTTCTGAAAGCAATTAACAATCTTTTTGAAAGGAAACACAACACCTATAATCACTATATTTTCCTTTCCCCAGCAAATGGAAATAGATTATCATCAGGGAAAATTCTTTTAACAGCCACCCGTAAGGACAGAAGTAACTCTCAGAATACAAATCAAATCATGACACTCTCCTGTTTAAAAATACTTGTTTTTGCCAGCTGCCTAAGACAGAATTGCTTAAAATGTACTCTGTTTAGAATTTTTCCAACCTTTCTTTTCTCTTTTTGCCTTTTAATGTGGAATACCAATTATTCTAGGATAACTTACAGTGTAGCCATCCTTCCTATACTCATCTGACATTACCAGTTCTGTCA